TGTAGGAAACTCTCAGAATAAAGAGATCTACAGGCATTGGCAGTTGTCCCAAACTATATTTTATCTCAGATGGGGACTGGGTAAACAGGAAGATTTAGGGCAGGTGAGGGTAGGAAGAAGGAAAAAAGAAGGGTGAGGGGGGAGTGAATGACTTCAGTACCAAATTTCCTTTAGAGAGGCAGCATCAAAATTAAATTCTTACAGCAATTCAATACAATGCAATCAATATTGGGCCCTTCCTATGGGCAAAACACCAAGGAAACTACTTGAACAAGAAAGAGATTGGTTTTCCACACTTTAACCCATAACTACTTAGAATATATTTGTTCAAACACCAAAGAGCTGATTTTTAAAATGTCTTACATCTATGTATCACTTTTTCCCATTAAAAAATGATCACAGAAAAATGGATGATGACACAAATGGAGGAAAAAAAATTAAGGTAGAGCAGATGAAACCAGGAGTATGGCAAACACATCAGATGCAGAGCATAAGGTCTTTCACATATTTTAGAAGGTGTGTCTAAAATCTGAGCCCTAATCTTCCTGGCAGCAGGTGCAGAGAGAGAACACCACTGGCTATGCACTTCGCTGTCTGGACAGTAAACCCACATACACTCAGGAGAAACTCAACAATTCTAATACTAGAGAGCTATTAGTCCCAGGAGTCCTTTAAAGGGGACCTTTTAATTGACCACATTTCATAGGGCTGTTTCTCAGAAGGGATGATGATGTGGAAAATTCAGTGAAAACATTTGGGCGGAGGTCTAATACTGTGCATTTGAAATACACAGAGCAGAGAACAGAGATCTGGTATGTTTTGAAACCCAGGAAAATTAATACTGTGGTAAATTAAACAGGATCAACAAAGAAGACAGTACTAGAATATGTCATATAATGCTGTTTTATTACACATTGGTATACAACCTGTAGGTTAGCTCAAGATGCCTATTATGTCAGAGGGTCTAACGCTAGATACTCTTGAATAAGCAACATTTCACAGATGAAAACACTGATAATGACAGAAGGAAGTATTAAACCTTCTATGATGGCTATTCTGTTACTACCAATATGTACTTCTTAATCCCTTTAACCTTTTTCACCCAACCCCCCAAACCCCTCCCATATGGCAACCATCAAAGTGTTCTCTGTATCTATGAGTCTGTTTCTGTTCTGCTTGTTCATTTATTTTGCTTTTTAAATTCAATTATTGATGGATATAAATTTATTGCCACTTTCACTGTTCATATTTTAGATCTTTTTTTCCTTCTTCTTAAATAAGACCCTTTAACATTTCATATAACACTGGTTTGGTGGTGACGCACTCCTTTAATTTTTTCTTGTCTGGGAAGCTCTTCATGTGTCCTCCCAGTCTCAATAATGATAGCTTTGCCGGGTAGAGTAATTTTGGTTGGAGGTCCTTGGTTTTCATCACATGGAGTATTTCATGCTGGGCTTGGCAGTGCCCAAATGAGGCCAAACTGTGAACCAAGATCACCTGCTGCTATTGCTGGGCCTGGGGCCACTTAGTGAGAGGTATGGGGCATGCCGATGCCAGATGCTGCTTGTTTGAGAGATTGTAGGAAAGTCTGAAGCATGGGCGAAGACAAGCCATTGTATGGAAAAACTACTGGAAACATCTTGGGTGAACGTTGGTGGGGTGGGGTCTCAGGGAATCACCAGCTCAGAGCAAACTGATAGCCAGGTTGATGGAGACTCAGATACGGTGCCCACCTGCCAGCTCTGTGGAGCAAGGTCTCATAAAAGGAACAATGGCTTCTGCCAGCACTCCTGCCTGGGGGAAAGCTGCCCCTCCAACTCTTACCCTGATGGTAGATACTTCATTTCTTCCCCATGTGTCCCTGGTGCTTTTTTGAGCTGCCCTAATACTGATGCTCAAAGACAGTGACTCTGAGTAAATCTATGCATGGGCCCTTTAAAATAAATTGCCTGGGACTCCAGAAGACCTCCATCTCAGTCAGCCAGAATCCCTGTTGGTTTTTAAAGCATGAAGTTATGGGGGCTTCTCTTCCTGGCCCTGGAACCCTGGGCTAGGAGCCTGTTGTGTCGCTAGAACCCCTTGCTCCTCAAGGGAGGCCTCTGCAGCTAAGACATCACTCTCAATTTTTATTTACCACTCGTGTGTGTGGGACCAACTCATTCCACATCTCTGCTCCTCCTACCAGTCTTAATGTGGCTTCTTCTTTAGACTGTTAGTTGCAGTCTTGCTGTTCAGCTAGATTTCAAGCAGCCCTGAATGACGGTTGTTCTGTAGTTTAGTTGTAATTTTGACCAGGCCCTTTGTTTTCAAAACAGGCCCAAACAGACTGAATGACTTGTCTAAGTTCACAGAGCTAAGTGGTGGCAGGGCCAGTTTGGAACTCAAGTGTCCTACTTAGACTAACACCAGCTAACTTAGATGCTCATTTCTATTCTATGATATGAACACATTTAGTTTATACAGCTATTAAATCAACTAATGTTAGCTTCAGGTTTTCTTAGTTTCATAGGTATCTCATTCAACAGATACTTATCTGCCAAGATACCAAATGGTTTTCTAGCTTAACTGGCAGCAAAGTAGCACTGATACTGTTAAACTGCAATAAGTAGTAAAACCTAAAACAAAACAAAACAAAAAATCTAGTACTAATATCTAAGTGTTGGGAGGATAGTAATGTTTAATATTTAATAGAAAAACCTGTCTAGAATTACTCTGAGACCACAGCATCAATATCTTTTCTATTGTGTAAGTACAACCACCAACAAACAACCAATCACTCTCCTCCGGAGAGAGAATACAATGTGCCAATTACAAACACTAGGTAGAATGGTAGGAAAAGTGTCACACAAGAATGACATGTCTACAGAATTCAAAAGATGAAAACAATTTCTAAATTAACATTTGGTAGTGGGATTTAAAATAGTACATGCTTTGCTTCTATAAGTTTAAAAAGGCACACTCAATACGTAAACTTCCCTCTGCAGTACACTTCAGTGTTTTAAGTCTTAAACATAGTTTATGTAGGGACTCAAATGCTGCATGGGGTGCTTGAAATCATATCAGAGGGTTTCTCAAAACTAAACAGCAAAAAAATGAAATTAAGAAAGGTGCAGTTGGGCCAGGGTTTTCTCTCAGAGATCATTCACCAGATACCATAATCACTCAAAGCTAAGTCAGTCGGAGCTGGAGTACCGAAAGGCCAGCAGGAGCCACAGATTGCCCTGACAACCGTGCTGACAAGCACAGATGCTGCCACCAAATCGTGATCATGGACACTAGTCCAGCCTTAGCCCATTGTAATACAACATGTCCCTGCTCTCTTATGCTTCAGGTGCACTGTGTTCTTTAAAATGCAATTTTGCAATTTTGCTACACTAACAAATCAATTTCAAACTCTCCCCTACCCACCCGCCCCAGTCACAAAACACTGGTGGACCTACCATATGAAGGATGAAAATTGTATATTTTTCAAGGTTACTAAATTCCTGTAAGGCATACTCAGAATTTCAGAATAAGCCAAATATAATTGGGAATACTCACTTGAGATACTATTAATGATAAAATCATTGCAAGCTGTCAGGTTGCAAACATCACTGGTGTTTTTTTCCCCTGTTGGGGTATGCAATGGCACTACCCTAGATATAGCATCAGGTGGGAAATCCGGGAAAAAGGGCTTAGACTGATCATTTGAGAGAGGGCAGTCAGTTTTGGGTTCAATAAAAATTCTACTCAAAATGTTAGATGTCATAAAAAAACTGAATCATTCATTTATGTTTAAATAGTGTACGGTGAAAAGTGTTCCTTGTATTGTGTTGGTTTACTGTTTGGTATGTCTTTGACTGTCAAGGGCTACACTTATAAAAATACAATTTACAAAATGGAAAAGCCTCTCTCTCCAACTACTCTATTAAATCTACCGTTTTACATTTTAAAGAGTTAGCCCTTTTCTGAGATATTAGTTACATAATACCCTCCCTCACTCTCTTTCAAACATTCAGGAAAGGCATTTTTTTGTTGTTGTTTGTTTTTTTAGGGAAGGCATTTAAAAATGTATTTAAACATTTCCTGCATCAATCCAATCTCTGAGGCCTTGAGAGAGTTGCAGGGAAAAAAATAAACAGGAAGTGAAAGTGACAAGATAATGGCATGGCTTTCTGCTTTTCTTTCAAACGGCACAGCTGAAAGATAAAAAATATTTTTCTCTTTAACAATCTGAAACTAATCTAATGGGGGGGGGAGGGAGGTTACAAACTACAACTCAGAAACTAACCCCTTCGAGACCACACACTTGGAAGGCTCTTTTCAAAAGGCGGTCTGTCTTTACTCCCTCAGCGGGCTGAGGGCGGGCTCCCTCTCACCGCCCCAGGGACACGCAGCACGGTCCCCTGCTTCCTGTGTCTTTTTCAGTGCGCATCCACTCTCCTCCCTCCTCCAAGCAAGGGTCCACGCAGTCCACGGGGCCATTGTGTCAGGCCAACTGTTACTCACAGCACACGCTCATGATTCACCCCGCTCGGCTCTCGGAAAAGACGCGAGTTATTTTTCCCTCTTCTAGAGAGGGGAGGGGCTCGCGGTTCTCACGATGGAAATGTCACTCCTCCGACCGTAGTCCACACTCGGGCAGACGGTCCGCTGCGCTTCATCATTAGCCCCCTCGGGCACCGACCACCGAGCCGGGGCACAGCGGCTATGAAACTTAACTCCTGATCACGGTCGGGACGCGGAGAAACCGCCTCCCCGGGTATTTTGCCGCTCCCGGGTCGCAGTCCTGAGGTCTTCGTATCACAACCAGGCCGGGGTGATGGCCCGCGAGCCTCCCCATCCCTGGCCTTTCCTGCCATCTGCCCCGGGCGAGACCCCGGCCTTGCATCTGCTGCCCCGCGACTACTGTCGGGTCCTCGCGCGCGCAGAAACGAAGTGAACTCCCGGCCGCTCAGCTTCCATTCCACAGAAGTGCCCCCCACAAACTTTTCCAGCCGCCGCGGAGCCAGCTGTCTTACCTGGGGTATCAGCGGCCGGGATCCCGACCGGCCCGGGGAGCTGGGAGTCGGCGGCCGCTGCAGGCGCCAGGATCGGGAGCCTCTCAAAAGCATCATCTTGCAGGCGCGGGGCTCCTTTCAGTTCCGTCAGCCTTTTTGCCGTGGGGGCTGCAGCGAGCTGGCCGTGGGCGCCCCGCCTCGTCCCGCGTCGCCCGCCTCTCGCCTCCCCGCCCAGCGCAGGCTGGGCGGGCTGGAGGAGGGTGTGCCCGTCTTCCACTTCCACTTCTGGTCTGTGCACACACCCCAGCGCGAGACTGTTTTCTCTCCTCCGACCAAAAAAAAAAAAAAAAAAAAGACAGTAAGGATGAGGAGAGAAAGAGCACAAGGGCCAAGCCCCTTACGCACCGCAGGTTTCGAGGGCGGCGCTGCCCGGCAGGCTGCCCTCCTCCTGCGGAAGCCCCTTCAGGAGTGACAGCCGGCCACCCGCACTTGGCGAGCGGGAGAGCTCTCGACGTGGGAGCCCGCTGTTAACTTGGTGCTCTAAGAGCGGCCTTCAGCGCTGGCCTCTTAGCGCAGTTGGTTAGAGCGTCCTCCGTCGGGATATGCCAAGATTGCGAGTTGTTCCCCCCTTCAGGGCACATACAAGAGTCAACCAGTGAACGAATGAATGGGTGGAACAACAAATCGATGTTTCTCTCTGTCTCTCTTTGTCTCTCTCGGTCTCTGTCTCTGTCTCTGTCTCTCTCTCTCTCTCTCTCTCAAATCAATAAATAATTTAAAAAAGAGCGAAAAAGGGGCAGGGCGTAGGAGGTCTGTTTGGAATTTGGGCCCGGGGCTGATCTCTGTCGCGACCGCAGGAAGGTCGATCGGACTGTAAGCCCAAGGCCCATCTCTGCCCGGCCTGAGGTCTGCTACTCACCAGACGGTGGCCCACCCCTAGCTCTTTGGGACAGTCCCACAGCTTAATCGGCTTATATTTTGCAGCACGCTTTTAATTGCTAAAGAACTGGAACTTAGTCTTCCCAACCCCTGGGAAATGTAAAGCTTTTTTTTAAATCCTCACCTGAGTATATGTTTCCATTGATTTTTGGGAGGCGGGGGAGAAAGAGAAGAGAAAGGAAAGGGAGGAGAGGGGGGGGGGGAGGAAGGAAAAGAGAGAAGATAGAAACATCCACGTGAGAGAGAAACGTCGGTGAGGGATGGAAACAGCAACCCAGGTGTGTGCCCGGACCGAAACGGAACCCAGCACCTTTTGGTATACAGGAGGAAGCTCCAACTAATGGAGCCACTTGGCCAGGACATCCTGGAGACTTTTTGTTTTTAAAAACAAACAAACATCAACCATTTAAGAGCAACCGAATCCAAGCTATTACATAGCTTACTTACAGTAAGTTGTTAAATAAAACAAGGCCCAGTTACATTTGAATTTCAGATTCAACTAATAAATTTTTCTTAGTGTATGTCCCAAATATTGCATGGGTCACACTTTTTCTTTTTTAAAAAATATATTAAATATTTGGGATATACTTACACTAAATTATTTGTTGTTTTTCTGAAATTCAAAACTGGCAAACACTGCAACAAGTAGCAAATCTTTCCTGATGATGATCTCTTTTCTTTATTGAAAAAAGATGGAGGTTTCTATGACAGCAAAAACTTTGTTAACTCAAAGACAAAGCCACACGTGTTAACTAGCATTTGCATTTCAAAGTACAATTGCCCTAGGCAGATAGTGTGACACAGCAAACATTAAGTCCACATGAGAACTTTCCTGAGTATTTTCCTTCTATTTTAGCTAGTGCTCCAAATGAAAGAAGTGAGTTTCATGTAGGCTATTGTGAATAATTCTGTAGTGAACATGGGAGCACAGATATATTCATGAGATACTGATTTTACTTCTTTTGGATATATACCCCCATAGTCGAATTGCTGGATCTATGGTAGGTCTATTTTTCATTTTTTGAAGAAACTCTATCAATTCTTTTATGTGGTTGTAGCAATTTACATTCCCACCATCAATGTGCAGGATCCCCATTTCTCTAATAGCTCAGGTATGGAAACAACCTACGTGTTCACTGAGAAAAATGAATAAAGAAAATGTGATATATAACCATTATCAATTACATGTTATATATTCTCTATTATATTATATGCTATTATATATGCATATTTACCATGGAATATTATTCAGTCATAAAAAGAAGGAAATCCTGCCCTGGCTAGTGTAGCTCAGTGGACTGAGTGCTGACCTGCAAACCAAAGGATTCCCTGCTCGATTCTCAGTCAGGGCACATGCCTGGGTTATGAGCCAGGTCCCCAGCAGGGCGCCTGTGAGAGGCAACCACACATTGATGTTTCTCTCCCTCTCTTTCTCTCTCCCTTTCTCCCTCCCTTCCCCCTGAAAGAAATAAATAAAATCTTAAAATAAAAAAAGAAGAAGAAGAAGGAGGAGGAGGAGGAGAAGAAAGAGGAGAAGAAGGAGGAGAAGGAGAAGGGGAAGGGGAAGGAGAGAATCCTGCCATTTGCAATAGACAACATGGGCGAACCTGGGGGTCAGTATGCTAAGTGAAATAAATTAAACAGAGAAAGGCAAATACTATGGTCTCACTTTTATGTAAAATCTAAATAAGTCAAACTCATAGAACCAGAGAGTAGAGTAGTAGTTGCCAGAGGCTGGGGGGTGAAAAAAATGGGGAAAGTTTGGTCAAGGGATACAAATTTTCAGTTATAAGATGAATAAATTTTAGGGATCTAATATAGAGCATTTTGACTACAGTTAACAATACTGTAAAATATATTTAAAATGTGCTAACAGAGTATATCTAAACTGTATTTACTATACCCCCCAAAAAAGACCTAACTATATGTGAGGTGACAGAAGTGTTAATTAACTTGGTTATGGTAATTATTCACCATCTATTTACCTACCTATAATATCAAGTTATCACATTGTACTCTTTAAATATATATACTTTTTATTTGTCAGATATACCTCAATAGAGTGGGGTGGGGGTGCAGGAAGAAAGAAAGAAAAGCATATTATTAGAAAGGAAATGAAGAAGAGAAAATGTCCACTTGGGAGCACAGAATCTGCCCCTACACATCACTGTGATTTTTTTTTTTTTTTTTTTTGCTACATTCCCTTTAATTGCCTTTTCATAGAACGACAATTTTATAATACTTTCTATAGAGGGAAGAGAAAAGATAACTGTCTTTTCTCCAGCATGTTGAATTGTTTTATGTCATTGACACTTTAGAAAAGTGTTTCTGAGCTTTATAATTGATTATTGGTAATGTTGTGTCAATTCTGATGACTGTTCTTAAATTTGGGAAAACTTCCATCAAGTGATTTTCACATATAAGCAGTAATATTTAAAAGAATATTCCACAAATTAGTTTCAGTGTCCTTTCATTTCAAATGTCATTTATTTTAAAAGAATTTATTTTATTTTTGATTTTAGAGAAGGGGAAGTGAGGGGGAAAAAGAGGGAGATAAACATCAATGTGAGTGAGAAACATGGATTGGTTGCCTTCCATATGCACCCCAACCAGGGACCAAACCCGCAACCCAGGCATGTGCCCAGACTGGGAATTGGACCAGCAACCCTTCAATTTGCAAGACAACGGCCAACCTACTAAGCCACAGGGGACAGGGCAAATGTCACTACGTTTTAACTAGCCACATAATTCTGGTAACTTGGCAACGTATGTCACATTCATATTGCAGTACAATCTCTGGCCCTGCACTTTTGGGTGACATCACTTGGTAAATTGGTCCAGTAGGTGATAGGACTATTCTTGGAAGCCATTCCTATGTGGGCATGCCTACTAATAACTTAATAATACATGAAAATGACAGTGAGCCTCATAAAATACCCCAATAAACCCAAACTAAATATATCTCTGACTCAACTTACTCTGCTGGATCTTGAAAATGGCCACGGCCACTCAGCCACCTGATACATGTGGTGGGTTTGCCAGAGGGGTGGTTGCATGAGACTGAGGTCTTAATTGATTTCATTTAAAATATCTTACTTTTAGAAATATTTTAAAAACATATTACCAAGTGAACACAATGCTAGGAACCCCCCCGCCAAGTGCCTTGGAAGAGGCTCTTGTGTAAGTGAAGAGTCCTGAAGCTTAAGCTAAATAATCTTTGCTGACACATAATTCCTCAATAAATGCTATTATTCTTACTCCAAACCATTCCATAACACTTAGTGCTTGCCTACTTCATACCATGTATCACATTTTGTCTATTTGCACTCATGTCTGGCTCTCCAGCTCGATTATAAATGCATAGAAGCATAACAACATTTATATCACAGGGACAACAGAAGGAGATGAGAGAACGCAAGGAATCAAGAACCTATTTGAAGAAATAATGACCAAAAACTTCCCTAACCTGGTGAATAAAGACACACAATTCCAGGAAACTCAGAGAGTCCCAACTAGATGGACCCAAAGAGGCCCACACCAAAACAAATCATAATTAAAATGGTAAGCTTAAAGACAAGAAGAGAATCTCAAAAGCCACAAAGAAAAGCAGTTAGTTACCTACAAGGAAGCTCCCATAAAACTGTCATCTGATTTCTCAACAGAAACATTTCACACCAGAAGGGACTCATGTGAAATATTCAAGGTGATCAAAAGTCAGAACCTACAACCAAGGCTGCTTTACCCAGCAAGGCCATCATTTAAATTTTAAAGAGAAATAAAGAGCTTTCCAGACAAAAAACAAAAAACAAAAAAAGAGCAAGCTAAAGAGTTTGTTACTATAAAACCAGTATTGAAACAAATGTTAAAGAGATCATTTTAAGAGAAGAAAAAGAAGAAAATAGTTAAAAATAAAATGGCAATAAGTACATGTCTATCAATAATCGCTTTAAATGTATATGGCTTAAATGCTCCAATCAAAAGAGATAGTGTTGCTGAATGGATAAGAAAACAAGACCATATATATTCTACCTCCAAGAGACCCACCTCAAAATGAAAGATGCACACTGACTAAAAGTAAAGGGATGGAGAAAAAATATTTCATGGAAATGAAAGGGAGAAAAAAAGCTGGGATAGCAATACTTATATCTGACAGAATAGACTTTAAAACCAAGACCAAAGAGACAAAGAAGGACACTATATAATGATAAAGGGGACAAGCCAACGAAAGGAGATAACCCTAGTAAACACTTATGACCAAACTTAGGACACCTAAATA